GTTCTCATGAAATTCCAAACCTAACTCAGAGACCTGGAGGTTCAGACTGCAAACAACTTCTGAACCTTTTCATGTGTCTGGCACCACTGCAAGCACTACATGTTTATGAATGTTAAGACACTTTCACAGTTGTATGGAGGACATATTCAGGAGTCAGGTTTAATTAACTGCAATTCTGCTCTTAAAATCCCCCACTGACAAGAGGATAACGACATGGCTGGAGATTTCTGCAATTCATATTGCTAAGGCTTTGAAAATTTCATTAATTGACTGACCCATCTTTTTTTTGTTAAGAGGGAGCAGAGGCAACGCCTGCCACACTCACCTGCAGTGTCCCTTCTAAACACTTTACAGAATGGCTATGATGTAGATTCAGGCGAAAGCCACTTTCCTGTTGGTTAGTTTCAAGGTTCTATGGCAACAGTTGACAATTAGAGATGAACCCTGGTGGGAAACAATGAGGGATAAATCATAGCACAGACAAATCCCTCACCTGTGATGTGTTGGCAGAGGAATTACTATTTGCTTGCTGTTGATGAATTTGTGCAAGCTGCTGTTTCTGCATTAGTGCCAGTTGCTGTTGATGTTGCTGGTATTGTTCGGCTGTAAATGCTGAACAAAATATAAAACGAGAAAATACTATATCAAAATATGTAGGTGTTGTGTATATAAACACATCTATTTTATAAACCTAAAGAAACCCCAAAAAAACTACCACAGCAAGTTCCTAAGAGACTTATGCACCTTTATGTCAAAAAGCTGACACTCTCCTAGAAATTTTTTGTTCAAGCTAAACCTTCTCTTTTAAAGCTGTTTTTTATAGTGTAATAACTGAATTCAGCTCAAGATATCAAAAAGGGAGAGGGAGAATGGAACCAAAACACCATCAAACCCACCAAAAAGTTATAATAGATTAAAAAGAAAGAAGAGGTAGAAATGGCATCATTGTTTTCACTTTGTGAAACTACAATATCTGCATTATTTGTGGAGTAGGTTTATATGCCCAACTAGGCAACTGCAAGGCAGCCCTCACTGACAGCACTCTGCAGGCAGCGAGGGGCTACAATTAAGATTTTCAGCTGAAATCACTAAGCTGGGCACACTCACAACTGGGTTGGCTATCACAGTACTGTATTTTTGTTGTTTGTAACCACACATGTACAAGCAATTCCATCAATAAAAAATTTCACGAAACTACACCCTTCTCTCTAAAAATCTTAGAAAGGTGACTCAGTCAAGCAGAATTTTGTCCAGTTAACCCACAAGTATAAAACTGATAAAGTGTTACTTGTACAGATTGACAAGGAGATGCCCAATGGTGCAGCAGAGTCACCAGTTCATTAACTAACTTCAGTGTTAAATTTTTTTTTTTTAATTTACATTTCCAAAACAAAATGAAGTCTCAGTTTTCAATTTACAAACTGAATCAAGGCTGGAGTGTGAATGCCCTTGCAAAGGATATGTCCTTCAGATTTTCCCTTCCATTTTATACTCAGATTGTATAAATGCTCCCAAGTAAGTGCTGTAAATAGCATTCATACTTCAAGAATGCAGTGGAAGTCACACTTTTGAGGAAGTTCACTACTGTCTGGCAACAAATCACCATCACACTTAAATCCTGTTCACAAATTGCAAATTTTAAGAATTTTTTGTTAATCTACTCCTTCAGGTTTGCTTACCTGAAAAAAAAAAGTACATTTCTATCAAAACTATAATAATGTCCTGCTTCTGGATACAACAGGATTCTGAAGACCAATTATACCTTACATATAAACTCGAACAACAAATCAGTATAAATGGTTAACCAAAACAAGAACTAATATTTGGAAACATCAGACCAAACACTACTGAGCATGCATTTTCCCATTGAATTTGTCCTTTTCTGGTGTAAAATTTGTTCGAAATACTCCTAGTATGCACTAGAAGTAGCATTAAAATTATTACCAGCACTTTTGCTGTCTGAACACTTGAAGTGACAGATTTTGATTCAGCTGCTACAGTCACGTTATTTTTTTTTTTTGTAAGTAACATCCTTCAGCAAGTAAGGATGTAGCACTTACTTATACAGTCAAAATGACAAATTCCTTCCCAATACTGTTACAGTTAAATCTCACAGCAATGTTTTAAACTATTCTTAGGAGAATAGCTTAGTAGTAGTAACACTGCTCATAAATGTCCTTACTAAAAAAACCAAAACCAAACAAACTAGAATTCATAGACCAAATACTCAAGGAGTTGACTGTTTAATTTATATAAAGAGTTAAGATTTATAAGTTCTTTAGATTTTTTTTAAACTGTCACCAAACACAAGTTAGGGCGAAAAAGCTTTAGCACACAAAGATTAGCATGTAGAAAGCTGACCAGCAGTAGCAGAGGGAGAAAAATGGATATATTGTCCTGGTACTGAGAGATATGTCATTTCTATTGATCCATTAGTAGTGATTTATTGCTTTTTTAAACCCTGAAATTTAGAATCAATATGGTTTAGCCAACATAGTGCCAATGATATTGAAGGTTCCATTTATTTATTTATTGTGTGATTCTTGGAGTGTCCTGTGCAGGGCCAGGAGTTAGACTTGATGATCCCAGTGGGTCCCTTCCAACTCAGCATATTGTACAATTCTAAGAACAAGGTATTTTATTCTGTAGTATGACACATAATATAATGTTTAGTATATACAAAGCTTAGGAATAGATTGCATAATTGATGTAAATAAAGACAACACACAGAACGATAAAGAGGAAAATGGGCAAAAAGAGTACGTTATACCACCATCTTTGACTGAATTATGATTAGAATTTCCACCATCATAATCATCTCACTTTTGCCTATTTAAGTAAAATTTACTAATAGTTCATTTCAGTTTTCAAGTCCTAAGTATATTTGAGATCTAACCATAAAACAGAGTTGAGGTAAGCAGTCACCTGTGTTGGTTTAACCACCTCCAAAATACTGTTTTCTCTCGGAAGAACAACTAATGAAGCTTACACGGGCTGTGTTTGTTCAGGACAGACTACACTGAAGATCAGCTGTAAGTGCTCCCCCTTCTTTCCGGAAGTGCCATTTAGAAAAACTGTGTTTCCAGTTGTACATCAGCGAATCTCTCTCCAGGCACTCTGTGACCCTTGCAGCTGTACATTTCCCACCACTACCAAACAGTTACACAGCTGTCAAAGGAAACAAGTGACAGAAGAACACCACTATGACTACCACCCTCATCTGTATTCCAACTGCTTCTCTTCCACTTAAAAAATACTGCCTGGAAAATACACTCAAGAACATTTTGGGCATTTTTTCAATTTAGGTTAAATATTCAGCAACATTTTTGCTGCTTCCCTTATTGAAGGTAGAAGTCTACCAGACATTTCAAAATACTATTTACAACACTATCAGAGATCTACTGTGAATTCTGAATCAATTGCATCCAGGTTAGAAATACAACACTGCTCATAAAGGACTGCTGCAAGCTACAGCCTCCTAAAATAATCTGATTGGTATTCCTTTCCCATTCCACAGGATACACAGATATGCTCATGTACAAGAGGTTACAGATTGTAATTATATAAGCCAGCTCTTCCCTCTCCATGTTAAAGAAACACTACATTGAAGGTTTTATTGAAAGCAATAGTACTGAGAACTACCCAAATCAAAATTTCTTCCCAAGACTGCAAGCTAGGACATCATACTCTGTTCATCTTCTGTTAGAAGCCACCATGTACTTTGCTAACACCACCACTGGGTTTCTTCCCCTCCTGCTCTCAAGGTATAGTCTACATTACACTTCAATTGAAGAAATAAGCACATGAATTGTGAGATTTAAGTTGCTTCTGAAAACTATTGTTTCCATGCAAAAAAAAAAAAAAATGGTATGTACTTTACAAGGAAGTACTTTTGTCTATTTAACCTTCCATACTCATTTCCTGTGGCACGCAATTGTGACTGGAACTGGGGAAATGGTACATGTAGAAGAAGTAAAAGTGACTGTCATTCTCTTTTGTGTCATACACAGGTCTTTATCTGCCTGGGAAAAAACCAGCAGGCAAGCAGCAAGCCCAGACCTTTCCTGAACACTGAAAACAGGAACCACATTTTTGGTAACTCAGAAGAGTATTGCTATACAACACCAAACAAACTTACATATTCCTGACATTACTGGAGGCATTTAAGGCTTTAAAAACATTCATAAAGCAACAGACAACTGAACAACAGCTTGAAGTTTAAACATGGACAAGACAAAACATTTACTAGTTAAAGACAACATATGAGATTTTAAAACAGTCTTGCTTCAGCAGCCCCAGAGTGCAGTGCATACAGACTCTTCTCAAACAGCATGCTGGGACCTCAGTGGTCCTGGTTCCATCACACAGTAATGACTATTTTATAGTTTGCAATTTACTGAATACAGCAGTGACGAAACATCCAGTTTCATTCACTACACAGAATCACTATACAGAGAGAGATGAAGGTGGAAATCTCAACCACCACTACCAATACACAATAAATAAGAACATTATAATTTCAGAGTATCTCAACTGTCTTTCACAGCTAACAGCTGCACTTCTATACAAAACCTCTACATACTTTCCAAGGCACTTGCAGTAATTTATGCAAGTCACCAGACTCAACCTAGTTCAACTCCTTTTCTAACCTTAAACATGAGAAACCTTTAAGGCCCAATTCTACCTGGAGTTATTCACATCTCAAGCTGGTTATCAGCAGATGGGCAGCTCAAACTTTACCAAGAGACTTGGCTACACAAATGCTTCTTGTTTTCTTGCAGCATACTGTATCAAGTTGTCACATTTCAGTTGAGACAACCCTCAGATTTTAAGTCAGTACATTGTGTTATTCTGTTATTCTCTTAACAGCTTGGGACAACAAACACACATCTATTCTGCAACTGTATTAGTGCTATACTTTGGCAGCAAGGAAATGGTTTCTAGCTTACAGACTGCAAAAAGCAATGGGAGGTAGAAGAAAAAACTTCAGGAGTTTTTAGCTACGAGTACAAGGAAAGAAACATCGTACGTGACTGATACTGACTGACAGGGTAAATGACTGCCCAGTATCTCCTTTGTGACAGCTACAAATCCTGTTTTATTAAGAACTGAATTATTGCACACTGTACTATCAATGTGTTTTCCTCCAATCATTTTTATGAGCATTTGTAAACCCTGGATGATTACATGTCCATTTTTTTTCCCCTCAAATTAAACCACTGAATATCAACTTTCAATTGGATGATTCTGTTTATGTATCACCCAAGTTCTCTGGGGTGCTGATACTCAACAGGTGTTGAGTATCTGGAGCACAGAGCAACAGTGATACTGTCAATGGACTTTGAGCTCAAAGATCCACAATTTGCAGCAGTTTTATAACACAATATAAAACTGTGCTAACTGGTTTTACCAGAGTTTTTAACATGTACCAGCCTTACAGTGCTGTAGCTTACATTTGGCTTCTCTGAAAACTCCAGTAGCTCCCAAATGTGGCCAAAACCAGGGAGGACGGCGGGGCTGACTGCTGCGTTTGTGTGAGATTGGTCTTTGCAGGACAAACAGCCACAGTCTCCCCTCACAATCCCTCCTGCAAGTTTCACCGTGCTGTGACTCACCCACCAGTTGTTACTCTGTTTCCCTTCAGTAGAAAATACAGACTTACAAAAAATTGACCACAATAACCAGCTTCCTAAAAGAACAGGGAGCATATCCTGGAAAGGAGAAAATGCATGTGTAAACTCCCCTTCCCTGTACTAGCATTCCCTTTCATTTCCTGAATGGAAGATGCTCGCTAGATTTGCCAGGCAAACTGAGCAAACTTCGTGGAGTGAACACCATGACCTACCCACGTAATAATTTCTTTTTCTTTTTTTTTAGTAAAAAGTTTTAAAAATGTAATACTGAGAGATTCAAACAGCTTAATTAAACCTTTCAGCAAAAGTTTCAGTCCTGTTAAACATCTAAAGAATTAGCTATTTAAATTACAGTAACTTTAAACCACTTAGAAGTTGTTTCATAACATTGTTAAGTATCTGTTCTCATGAGCGGAAATGTTATTTCAGTGGGAAAACTGAGGCCTTAATACTATATTGGGTTCAAAGAACCTCTCTACAATCCACTTACAGTACTAGATTTCCTGATCCTTTCAGTGGATGACAATTAAAGAGGCAGTTTTGATCAGGTAACAGAAGAAAGATCCCCTAACTAAAGCTTTCAACTGAGAAATTCCATAAACTACAGAATTGCTAAAGTGTGTGGAAAGATGATATATTATGTTACAATGTTTTCTTAAGGGAAGCACATGAGAGCATCACATCCCTGCTGTGTAAGAGAACAATTAGTGGTTACTAATGCCACAGTGAATGCAAAGCAAACATCAATCACAATGCTAAGTAATCCAGAACATCACATTTTTAAATCTCTCTCTCATGAGAGATGTCATCTGGGTTACACTGCCTGGTTAAAGACTTTCTACTATATAGCAAGTTCTCACCAGTGAATTCAGAAGATTGGAGAGACTTAGAGCCATCAGTGTGATTTAGTATTTGATGCACCAGGCCCAAAGTTGTTTCACTTTCTGAAAAGAAGTTCAAGATTGGTTTTACTTAAACATGGTATTATTAGGCACTATGAGAACATGAATCATTACACCCTTGATTATTACTACAACAGCCTTTTATTTCAGCCCAACAGAAGTGTGAAATTCCTAAAATCAGAACTCTAGAAATTATAAACTAGATATAAGGTCTACATATGAACTCCCTACTTGGTAGCAGAAGACAGACAGAAAATAATTAATAAAGATTTTTACTAGCCATTGAATGAAAGCTAGAAAAGTTTGCTGTGCATTTATATTTGTCTGCCCATCATTCTTAATATGAGTTTCCCCCACACCGTCTCAGGCCAGTTATAAATGTGGTGATCCTTGCACAGAATGCAAAGTGTAACAGTTTCTGCAAACCCAGAGATCCATCACTTTGGAGCAAAGTTTTACTCCAACTGAGTTGAAGCTGAATAAGAAAACCTAATACAACTACGAAGTCTTGAAGTCTCCAGAAATGCTCAAGTGTTTTGGTATGGCTCTTATCCCATCCTCAGTCACATTTCCCAGATTAAAGAAGCTTTTCCTTCTAATATTTCCTCCTTCAACTAAGCTTAGGGTGGACTCTAAACATCTGTTAAAACATCTCAAGGCCATTGCTTCTTCAACCAGGACACCAACAGCTCAGTCACAGATGGGCCAATGATGATTGAATTCCAATGATGATTGAAAATAGCCATTACAAATTCCAGTACTTTTCATGACCAAGTTTATCATGTAATGTGAAAGAAGTATTTAAAAAATGGGAAAATAGTAACACAGATAGCAATGTTGAGACTGTTACAGATACAAAGGTTAAATAAAAAGATCTGAACACAGCCAGTGGTGGCATGAAAACCATGAAAAGGCAGGACAAGCTCTTCTACTCTGCTGCAAGGAATTGCCACAAGGACTGAGGAGCTTCCTCCTGCTTCTTTCTGGGAAAGGGTTGCCTAAAATCAGGCATCAGGTATCCTTAATAAGAATATGAAATAACAGTATAGAATCATAGAATGGTTTGGATCAGAAAGGACCTTAAGGTTCATCTAGTTCCAACCTCCCTGCCACAGGCAAGGACACCTTTCACTACACCAGTTGTTCAAAGACCCCATCTAACCTGGCCTTGAACACTTCCAGGGATGGAGCAACTTCTCTGGGCAACCTGTTCCAGTGTTTCACCACCCAGACAGTTAAGAATTTCTTCCTAATATCAAATCTAAACCTATTCTCTTCCAGTTTGAATCCATTTCCCCTTGTCCTGTCACTACATGCTCTTGTAAAAAGTCCCTCCCCATCTTTGTTGTAAGCTCCTTTCAGGTACTGGAAGGTCCCAACTAGGTCACCCCAAAGTCTTCTCTTCTCCAGGCTGAACAAGCACAGATCCTTTAACCAGCGTTACCTTATTTGGGAAATGGAAGTACAGTTCACTATCCTGCTAGACACCCAAATGTGCTAAACTGCTTTTAAAAAGCAGATTAAGAGATGCAAAAAAGAGCATGCAAGTGTACTGGGACAGTGAAGTTACTGAATAGTAAAGCACAACTTGCATCACATCATCTAAATATCTGATTTACAAGAAAATGAAAAGTAAATTATTTTGGATTATTTAACTATGTTCAGTATTCCTGCAGCTTTTCATACAGTAAGATCTACAATCACAAACATCAAAACTCTAACAATGTTCAGTAAGGCTTTTTCTCAAAGGGCAAGTTACAAATTCACTGAGCAGTTAACTGCCAGCCTCTTCAGCCTTGCCAGCTTTCAGACTGTTTTCAAAGTGATCCAGCTTCTGGGTGACGAAGGCAGAAAACAACAGAATGCAAGACTGCTGCCTGCTCTTACTGTAGAGCCTGGGAACCAGTGCTCCAGTCTTTCACTAGTGACGGGTATCCCTGCTCTGCTTCCTAAAGACAAGGCTGGAACAGAAAGATACATGCTGTGCAGTCTTAAGACTCTTAACTTTTGTCTCTAACTTTTGTTACTAGATGTAAGCATTCCAAAGTCCAAATGCAACATATTTAACAAGTCTCCAGCGGAAAGCACAGTCTGTCCATAATATGATGCAGTTCAAAGACTACTATTTGCCCAGCAGAATCAGCTCAATCTAACAAGGGACAGAAACACTTCAGATGAAACCTTATGACTATTGTACACTCCAGAGTTACAAGCTCCATCTCTGAAGATTTTGATTCAGAAACTTGAGACTGTCAGCAATACAGGCTCCTTTTCTGAAGTAATTTTGCTGCATTTTGTTCACAGTTAGTAGCTTCCCAACTGAACAAGTTAATTCTCCACAATAATCTTGATTTAATGCTCTTGCTTGCCTTTTAGTGGTGTTCTGTATAACATGTGTGAAGATCTCTGAATCAGGTCTTTTTGCAAGAGGGCAAAGGATAGTTTTTCATAATTCTTCAGCAAGATGAAAAGGAATCACCCCCTTCCAAAGTGACGCTACTTTTCTTGGCCACTTGATCCTGGTGCCAAAGTTTAGCTTTCAGCACACAGCAAGTGTTCAAGTAACTTTGTAAAGGGATTTCTTTTTTTTTAAGGCATCCCTTCTCAGTTTATACACAAAATCTCAATGCAACAACATCTTCCACACATCTTTGATGCTGAGCATTCTGAAAGCCAGGACCAGAATAACCTGCATTTCCTTCAGGGTCAAAGGCACTTCAAAATGTTTATAAAATGCCCGGTTCTTTGGGGAAACTTCTCCCTGATCTTCAGGATGAACAACAATGCTTCCTGTAGCCAGAGAATGGTATGTCACAGCACAGCTTCTAGAACACATCCTCTGCTTAACAGAGGACCTGAGATACAATCTCTACTTCATGCCCCTGCTGGCCATGTATAACAGACCTGAGAAGCAAGGTTTTCCATAGCAATTGTTCCATGTCAGCAGCATGTCTGCATCATTCAAGGCAGAAAAAGTCCAAGACTTATCTACACTTTAGTATGGAAACAGACAAAACTCATGTGACGGTACACAATAAACATGGCAACATGACCACCTCTGCTGGTCACTACAGAATCCTAGGATGAGCTTCATCTTAAAGGCAAGCAATATGGTTTGACCACAACTCAGAGTAGCAGTAAAAAGATTAAAAAAAAAAAAAAGGTATTAATAAGTGTTTTCTGGTAGAAAGACCAACAGCCAATTCAAAAACCTAAAAGGTAAAGAGGAAGAAACCTAAAAAAAAAAAATCTATGCCCACAACAAACTCCCATCTTTAAAAATGATGAAGAAAAAGTAACAGGTACACTGTACAGGGTTGTTAATCTGTAGTAGTAACTATTAGAAAAACTTTAGTACAGCTGTTAAGATACCTGATGTTCTCTACAGTATTTGCCACAGAAAGTAAGAAGACAACTCAGCAGCTGCAACTGACTGGTACCATTGAAGAAGTCAGACTCACATGAGACATACAAACAGCCTGTGATCTGTGCAGACAACCTATCTCAAAGAATCCTTTAAAAAACAGAAAAAAAAATCCACTAAAAACCAGACTGGCACCGAGAATTAGACTCTGCTCCTTTTGAACCCCTACACTGACAATCAGCAGTACATCACATAGACACAAACTTCTATACACCTCCAATGCCACAAGAATTCCAACTAAGATTATAAATATACAGATACAACTGCCCAACTATACTAATAATAAGTGACTATCCGAAGACTGTGGTAACTGATTTAAAAGTGTATCTATTAATTCAGACAGATACATTTTTTTATTGAATATTTAATTCCTGTATCAAGCCCTAACAAAAATATGAAACTAAACTCTAACATTTAGATTCTGAAAAGCTTGGAATACTAACTTACATATTTTACATGGATACTAAGCCATCTGTACAGAATTCCAAGCACAAATTAGTGTTATATACCAGGTACTTACACACATGTATTAATTCCCCAGGGGCTTCAAGATGTAACCACACAATTAAACTCCGGTATGAAACTCATCACCATAAATAATAATAGCATTTAATTCCTAAATGATGTAGATAAACATCCTAACCATCTATTTCAGGAAAAAAGACTCTAAAAGGGTGTGTGTGTTTATTTATACACACACACAATTATATAAGCTTTAAACTCAATCAGTCAATTTTTCAAATCTACACGATTTTCAGATGCAAAGTATTGCCATTAATACTTTAAAGTGCATTTATAATCTATTCAGTACCCCATAGTTTTGTTTTCACACTCATAACCTGGCTACCATTTTATCATAGTTCAGACTGGTCATCATCCAGAGGATGCTCTCATTCAGTTCTGGACTTGCTTTACTTATTTGAACCACTTGAAGGGCAGAATTTAAACACCAAAAGCCACACTTATATCACAAACCAGAAGGACCATCACTTTTAGCCTTTGTACATTTCCAGCAAGAATTATCATAAAAGAGGAAAGAAAGGGGGATAGGGGCAAGGACCTAATCTAGGACAGCATGGAGAGGAAGCAGGAAATAAAGCAGCAGAACAAAGGCGCTCACTAACTCTACAAATACAAGTAGAAAGAATTTTCAGGTTAAAAAACCCAAAACGTGGTACAGGGAGAAAAAGTACAAAACATATTGGCAAACAGGAGGATTAAAGTAATCTGATACCAGGATATCAGATTTTGAGCAAACCACCAAAACACCTCACAATTTGATTATTTTATTAGGTATATGCATCTCTCCCCACTGCACTCCTACATTATCCAGGTATTCTGATTGATTTCCAAAGCCATAATTCAAAATGGTATGGAAAACATGATTCTAGAGACTCCTTACAAAGGTGAACTTTTAAAGTTATTTCTTTATAAAAAAACCTGTCACTTTAACCTACTATAAAAAGATGACATTTATGGTACTGACTCATCAAAATTCATGAGTTATTTAAGTCCCAATCTAACACTGTAAATGCCAGGCTTCCAATATGAAGAGCCCTACAAAAAGAGTGATGCTTTCCAACAGTGTTCCAATTAAAAAACACCACCACATCAAGTTTTTTCAGAGTCAGGTCCTCAAATCTGTAATTGGGTTCTGTAAGATGTAGTCTGCCACTTGCTGACAAGACGTAGAGGTGATTAGTCCAAGAGTTTCGCTAAGCATGAGCAGATGCATCAGTGAGAGTGGGCTGGGTACTTTTTGGATGGGAAATGGCATTTAAGTTCATTTAAGTTCAATTAAGAATTCATAGCATGCTGGGATTTTAAATGCACACATTTTAACTAAACAATTCCCATCACCACCACACTTTGTATTAAAAAAAAATTTGGAATGTAGTATTTACATCAACATTTCAATTAACATGTTTTTAATTTTAAAAATCCAAATCCTCAGTCAACTGAAACCCTACACAATATTGTTTTTAAAGCTTTGCATTTCTAAACCTGTAATTACATACCACTGTAGCACTTGTATAAATCTCAGATGCAGTACTCTACTGCTAGCAATAAATGCAAACAAACATTCCACGTAGCAAATAAAGAGATACACATGAAGATGGGCTGTTACCACCAAAACAGACCACGATGTAAAGTATGGATGACCTAATGATATTCTGGATTTTCTGAATCAAGTTTAAAACTTCTGGAAGCAAGTTTGTTAAATTAAACATACCAATATGTGCTGAACCACTGCTACTTTTACTTTGTGTAGAGGTACTGCATGTCTGGGTCCCGGGTTGTGCTGTGCCTGTTCGATTTAAACCCCTGTATAATTTCCTACAGGAGAGTTCATCATTGTCACTGTCATGTAGGGATGGTGTCCGAGGCCTAAAATGCCGCCATCTACATGATTTGATATTGACTAGTATCTGACTGAGGTCTTTTGAGAAAGATTTGTCCGAGGTATTTGTTTCTGAGGTATTGGCAAATTGACTGATTGAAGAGTGTTGTGATGAGGAAAACCTTTCCAAATCCAGGTGATGAAATGCATTATCGTAGTCCGAATGCGCTCTGTCCAGCAGCACCCTGAAACCAGGACAACAGTGCAGAATTACACAGTGGCAAGAAAACACGGAGAAAGTCACCAGTTTGACATGTGTGCTTGGGGATGACAAAGGGATAGAAGGAGCTACACAAAGCTCTTCTAGAACAAGCAAACACACACTCCCCCCCAATGCATGACTACCTATTATTTTACAGTAAATATTATATTTAGGTATATTTTAGCTTTTACTGTTTCAAGAGCTGGAGATACAACATCATGTATATATTAAGACTGCAACAACATGTAATTAAAAAACACCTAGACAATAACATCGCTTAACTAATTAAAAAATGACTGAAATACTCTCCTGAAGTAACTTCTTCAAAAGCCTTACTCCCATATATACATATATACTACAACCATCCTAATGCAGTAGGGGATGTCACACATTAAATCCCAAATCCCCTTGCAAAAACCCCAGTAAGAGCCTTCAGCTCTCATTCCAATTTTCCTGATTAGTTTACTAGTATGTGAAGAGATGCTAAGCACAAATCTGAAAGGCAAATCACATTCTTACTTTTAATCAAAATTTAATCCCAATGTACTATTTTCCTAAAGACATAACACAATATTTAAGAAAGAGCACTTATACAGCAAACCATTTATAAAATGTTTTTGATAAATACTCTTAGCAGCAAAATGCCTGAAATAAGTCATTAAATTCTTTGATATTTTTGAAAAAGTTTGAAATTTAAGTTATCGTCAGTTTTAAGCATCCCTCCCAAAAATCACCAAATATGGTCTAAATTCAGAAAAGCATTTTCTGTCAAATATAATTTTTGCTATCTTTAAGTGCTACTATTTGAAGACAGCTATGCAAATAATTTAAATACAAACCACCAATCACAACTGAAAATACACAAGTATTTTCACCTCAGAACTTGGGAGTGCAAGTAATAAAAAAACCCAGAACTACTTAAGAAAACAGTACTAAAGCAGCTTCCATTAGCACAAAATAAAAATGGAGACATTAACCAGCTAAGGAAACTTGGATCAAATATAAATATTAAAAAAGTCAATCTCTCCGCGGTGTTCGAAATTCTGAGTTTTTTCGGTTTGGGGTTTTTTTTTAACTTTGCTGCTCTTTATGTCTGATTTTTTTTTTAAATTTTATTTTTAAAAGCAACAGCAATTCCATAGCTCTCACCTTCCACCACGGCCAACCCGTCGTCGTGCAAACCCAATACACCTCTGGGGAACGGTGAGGGTGGTTAAGCAGTATCTGTAACGCACGTCTCCTACTCTTCCCTCTTTAGGGCTACTCCACGGCCAGTTGCCAGGTTGGTCTAAATGAGGCTTGAAATAATTTTAAACAGTTAGACACAAGATGTTTTCCAACAGTGACACTCTGTCTTATAATACATAAGGAAATTCTACTTACAGCATAGTACTGACAGCCTGCTTTCCTACGGAAGGCAAAAGGACCATCGGGATCATTTTCTTCCTCAGCCTCCGAAGAACCAGACAAAACCTTTAAAGAGGGGATGGGAGGTAGGGTATATGAGGAGAGATATTAGCAAATTCATGAGTTTTATTTCTGTTCTTTCCCCAAGAGCAGTACAAAACTCTAGAAGTCCTACCTGGGAGAGAGGTTCTTCATCTGAGCTAGGAAAATCATACTGATTCAAATCTTTAGCATTAAAGACTGGCAGTGCAGCAGGACTTGTCTGTTGAGGAGTAGCAGCAGCGGACGAAGGTAAGACTTTTGGCTTCTTCTCATACTTTCTTTTGGGTCTAATAACATCAGGCTTATCTTGCTGCAAGAAAAATAAAAAGCAGAGTAAAATTACACACAGATGAAAATTACATTAAAACAGGAGTTTAAGAAAACTCCTGTGTAAGCAAGCCAAAATGTGAAATCATCTCTCCACCATCTTGATAGTAAAACATGCAGTCATTTCAAGAGTATCTGGATTTCGTTTTCAGTAATGGAAACATTTAAGAAACAAGGTGGAATCATGCACTGTTTGCTCAATCTGTGCTGGATAACTCACTAGCAGTTAAAGTGACAGAACTACTTTGGAGAAGCAGACCAAAATACATATGATGATCTCCATGAGGCACCTTTTTCATTTTCTAGCATTTTGACTTAATAGCCACTTATGCAGCATTAGGGAATTATTAAGTACCAAACAATGCTTTAAAGGCAAAAATAGAAGTTAGACTTCTCAAAGATATCTATAATCTCACAAATGCCTCTAAAAATTAAACACATTTCCCCATACTATGCAAAGCAAAGTTTAAGTGCCTTTCCCAAGTCTCCAAGAACCAGATTTCTTTCAAGCTGTGAGACGCTGCACTGACCCAACAACACTGAGAGGCAAGTACACGCCAGCAATCACAACTACATTGCTCTACTATCAATGGAAGAATTCACTGATTCAAAACACACTGTCAGTTTCAGAACAGCCTCTGGATACTCTTCACTCACAAGGAGTCTTGGTTTAAAATTCAAATTATACCTCAGCATTTCTCCTGTGTTACCTGACCTATTTAACATGCTCAGCTGTTTGCACTGTAGTTATGCTTTGTATGACACAAAATTAAAGCCTGCAGGAAAAAAAGTGCTGGTCAGCTGTCTAAATCAAATAAGGTTCTTTGATACTTTACTTAAATACAAAACCAGACAAAGATATAGAGCATGCTGGGAATACCAGTAGATCCTATCTTAAAAACAAAAACCAACCCTCTGGATTAAAATAGCTACATAATTTAGAACAATACATGGATTTTACATCAGTAGTTCCATCTTTGTACAACATCTAGGTAAAAAATACAGTTTTGTTCAGGATATCCTAACTTTAGGGGCAGTATTAGAGAAAAATGTTTCTATCCCCCTGAATGAGAACACAATTGCACGTGTCCTTTTGTCTGTAGTTTGTCTAGAATTTATTTCTGTCTTAAGAAATAAAGGGAGTCTATATGTTATCCTCATAACTCCAACAAAGCACTTTATTTCACTTGCAGCTTTGCTAACTGTTGTTAGCTTCATAAAGCCTCCCCTCTCCTATCCTAAAATGCTGTATCTTGCGTACTTTATAGCCAAACAGTAACTCAGTTACTGACATTACTCACTTTGACTTTATATTCTTTCAGTTCCATAGCTTCTTGGTGTTTAAAAGAACTGCTGTTAGTCACAGGAATGATGGGAATAGCATAGGTAGGTTTTAGTGGCTGCCGCTGCGCCATGACTTCAGACATGATCTCTCCACTGTAGTCACCCAAATTATACCTGAAATCAAAAAACATTTGTTGGAGTGCTTACAATGTACATCTGGTAAAAAAACTGAGAAACATGGAGAAACACAAACTAATACTTGGAGTTTGGGGTAAAGGGACATCCAGGACATCAGCAAGAAGTACAGAAAGTATTATTACAGAAAAGGGGACTGACTAATAACATAGAAAATTTATTGCAATGGTTAATACTGACAAATAAAAAATGATAACTACTCTGTAAAGCATCTCCAAAGCACAATACTATAAAGGAAAGAAGCAGAAACTAGAAGGAAAGAACAGGAGAGTTACCCTCCCCCCTCCCTTGGGGACTGTTGCCATTTAAAACCCATACATTTATCACTTGAAAGGTTTTAAACAGTGAGGCAGAGTGCCTTATTCATTAATCCTTCCCCTTTTGTGTCAGGGAATATTTTCACAACAAGTAGATCCATGAAACATATTACATTTCAAATCCTGTGACAAATGCTGGGTTGAAGTGCAGTTCTTCACTCTGAGGGAGGTATTAGTGTCTTCCCTCTATTCAGCAGCTTATTTTATGAGAAAGCTACTGTGAAAACCTTTTAAATTTCCCCCCTCTCTGGTTCTGCTTAAAAAGCTCAGTGCTTAAAAAAAGTGCCCTAGCAGAAAAATTCAGCTTGCCTCCCTAAGAATCCAGACTAAAAAGTTAGTTCTAGAGCTTTAAGACACCGATTCAGAACATTTGCTTTCAAACATGGATACTTGAGCTAGGGAAGTCTACTCAGATTCTAAGTATGAACCTAAAGAACAGCTCCACATTGCAACTGTAAATCTCAGCCAATTAGGAAAGTGACAACTGAGTATTTGGCCCTCAGCACAGCTGACCAACAGGATGTCAAAAGAAGCACAAGTTGGAGATGACTCACACATTTTATACTCTATGAAATGATTACCTCTTTTCTTCAAGAGGGTGTTTGATCAAGCTTTTTTAGCAAAGAATCGTGATCATGAAGTCAAAGAATGGTAATGTTTGAAAATGGCCTGAAAAATAGCTGGTATTTCCTTAATCTATGCATTTAACATGCATTTTCACCTGAAACTATGATCTCTCTTCTGGTATAACATACAGAATAGATAAACACATTTGAAAATATGTACACATCTAATGAAACAATGTAGCTCAGTTTGACGGATCACCTTGCCACAATAAGCAACTTCCTAGCCTTATATTTTGCTCTCCATAGCCATATACGAAACTATGTTATCCTGTAAACCCATGTCTAAATACTTATTTTAAAAATCTCCCACTGTTTAAATATTTGAAGCAATCAGAATATAAAGCAGCTTCCAAAGCTTTCTGCAGCAACTTTTCAATGAACATTACCTCTTTTCCATAATTTCCAGTGTTAAATGCAGCAATTCTCTCTTGCTTTTTTCTCTTCTCTTTATCATCTCCAGGATGGTCACTGCACGACTGAGATCTCGACGCAGCTTAAGCATCTTCTCGTAAGAAGCTTCATCGTTTTTCCGATTCTGCAGATACACAGAGTATATGTGATTCCCCTCATCATTTAAATTAAGTAATCTGAACCACAGTAAGTTCTAAATATTTATATACATCAAAAAAAAGACAAGTCATATGCCAAACCAAGGAGAAGCATGTGCATGTTATCAATGAGCTACAGCTTACTAATACAATAAGTAGGTTTAATGGTAGATTTAGTGAAAAAATTAATATAAATTTTCATTTAATAGCTGTTCTAAGGTAGTTTTGCTTTTCACCCTTGCAAATTAGAAAAGAGAACATGCCAATTTTTACTGTTTCATACAACACAGCAGAACTGTTTCTTTACATAATCTACTTTTTGAAAGGGGGAAAAGGAGAAGGAAAAGAAAGAACAGCTGAGAGAGGCTCTGATATACATACTTTTCGTGTCTGCATCTTTTCTGTTCGTCTTCTAAAAGCAACATAAGGGTCATTTGTGCTGGAACCATCTCGTTTCTCTTGTTTCACTGCTGGGATAAGAGAGGGACCTCGACAGTTTTTCCTCTTTTTAATCCAGTACTCATACACTTCTCTGATCAATTCATCGTCTTCCTTCAGCAACAGCTTGGCCTCTTGCAGGCTGACTGGCTAAATGTAAAAGCCAGCATGTCACTTTCACACAGTAACATACAGAGCGTGTATTTCAAATTCTTTATTCAAAGTACCATTGTACCTGCTGACCGCTGCCTTTTTCTAGTCTGTCTATCATCTCCTCAAACTGCAAAGGAGAGATGTCCATTCTTTTCTTCAACTTGTTCACAAAGATCTCATCTTCAGAATCCAAGTCATAATCCGGCTGCTCAGCATCCAAACTAAAAGCTAAATGATACAGTGAAAGTTAAAGTTAGTTTTACTACAGAAATGTTTTGTTCTAATAGCAACGTTCAGAATACACAGCACACTCTTCTGGAGACGAAACCAAAATCATTTGTTTGAATGTTGCAGTAATACTACTTTCAGGTTACACCTAATTTTTCTTTGGAAAAAAATTACACTGTTAAAAATCAGACATAAAAGTTGCCATCTATTTGATTATGGTTTTGTTATTCAATGTAAACTTACTAGTGGTCAAACCAGCTAGCAGCTTCCTGCCTCATTCTTTTCTGTAAGAAATTTTTAGATTGGTGAATATTTTGAATGCTGCTGAGTATTCTCTAGTTTTATGTCTTATATGATCAACAGTTAAGACTACAGTCCAAACACACACATGGGAAAGTATATGCAGACTGTATTACAATGATCTTACACATACTCTCATCAATGATTTTTGTGATACAGATGAGTCAGACTAAACTGGTCCAGCACAGTCTACCCTATGTAGCAAGGCATCTTCAAATACAAGCAATGTTTTGCAGAATGCAAACAACTGTTTGTTTTACACAATACCCTATGAAAACACAGCACTCTGCATTCAAAACAAGATCTCCCTAGTTCTCATGCCTCATTCAAGTTGTTTTACATAGTAAGAGTCAAATTTCTTCTCAAGTGCACACCTGAAAACACATACCTTGCTTCTAATAAATAAAGAGGTAGAATACAATGCAGCTGAAAAATCACAGTTCCAGCTGCTAGACCTGCTAGACAAAGAAGCTTTTCCTTATCTAGTCTAAACAAAGAAAAGAAGAATGAAAAGTATAACCTTAATATCAGCATGTGAGACTGCTAGTAGGAAGATAATTTTTTACAGTGAGGGTGTTGAAACACTGGAACAGGTGGCCCAGAAAAGCGGTGGATGTCTCATTCCTGGAAACATTCAAGGGCAGGTTGGACGGGGCTCTGAGCAACCTGACCTAGTTGAAGATGTCCCTGCTCATTGCAAGGTGTTGGACTAGATGATTTTTAAAAGGTCCCTTCTAACCCAAACTATTCTACATTTCCAATACTTCAAGACATTATTGAGACTGACTGATATAGAAGTCTAGCATTTAACCAAAGTTAATTAGGCATGAGATCTTTTTACACAGCACAGAACAGCTGCTATCTTCTAACAAAAACAAAATCCCAACAAATTTGCAAGTCATCAGCGATGCCAAAACCCACCTATTTTTAGATGTAGAATACTTCCATCCAGGCACAGGCAAATACTACCACTGCTACTACCATTTCTGCTTGGCTTGCCAATCCACTCTTACTGCCATTTTATCTTGAATATGCTTCTGGGACATGTACTCTGTTTCTTAACTATGTATTATATATTTTCTTCTTCAAGTAGATTTGTGTCCTTGTTAAAAAAAAAATATCTAAATTTCCCTGCAAACTGTTACTACTGACCAAGAACTAAATATACTTCTTCAGCAAGTAGTATGCATTTTTCAGCATGTTGGAAAAAAATAATTCTCAGAAGTCAAGTCTTGGTGGGAGTTCAGCAGACATTTAGCAGTAATGTCTGGCAAAATAAAGCTCTCAATGTACAAAGAACGAGTTCCTTTACTTACGCTGTATGTGAATCAGCTGCTTTGGCATTTTAAATTCTCCAGGATATATAGATTCATAGTATGCAATATTACTTTCTGCTTCTGGAACTGGTATAACCATGTTATCCCTCTTCTCTCCATAGACTTGCTGTGCTGAGATAGCCCGTTGGAGATGATGTTCCTACAAACAAAAAAGTCAAGATGAAAACCCGAGAAAATATTTCCATAACTGAAGACTTGCTAGAGTTGAAAGAAGGTTATTCCTTTGCAAATGCTCTCGTTGTAAACCCCCGAGCCCTGACCTGAGGAATGGGTGGTCGCACTCCTGACCCAAAGTGCGCTCCCCCCGCCGGAGGGTTCCCCAGCAGGTGGCGCTCTCCCCTCACACACCCCCACTTCAGCTTCCCAACTCCCAGCCAGGACCCGCTGCTGGCACACCGAGCCACAGAGTCCGCGATTAAACGTGTCTGGAGAGACACTGAGGATTGATTAGACACACAGATTATAACAAGTAGCTGCAGACAGATATTGACTCCGGTATTATTCTGTATTTGCCTTGGCCATTTATTGCCAGCGATAACAGAAAACCAGAAAGGAGGCCTGCCATCATCGCCTAGGAACAGCAATTACTTTTACCCACTGAATGATTCCTGAAGATGTTCTCATTTACTGTAATGCTTCCCATTATCCTCCCGCTCCTCCTCCTAATCCATCAAATAAAGCAAAAATGCACCCCATTCTTGCTGTAGTTCTCCCAAGACAGTAAGTAATATCTGCAGAGTTCATGTAGAGTTAATGACAAAACGCCACACAGCAAAACATGCATGTTTGTAACTGGTTTACTGACAACATAACATGCTATTTTTTTCCCTAGCATCAGTGCTAGTTTCTTAAATTTCTATACTGTTTCTTTACTGTGCTCAGTAGACCAGTGCAGAAGTAGTTGTTGTGCCAATACAACTCTCAATGAGATGCTATAAACCAGATCACTGAAATACCTAAAAACAGCAACTGCAGCAAAAGGGTAGCAGGGATAGTTGGTTTTAACATTGAAGCAAAACATATCAGTGTTCATCCACATGATCTTATTGCATCTTTACTTGTCTGACTTCAATTTAATTCCTCTAGTATAATAAAGGCAATTAAGATCTTCTGTCTAAACTTTAAAAGATAAGTAATCAAGAAAATTATAAAATAGGTTTTTTTGTAAACTCCAGAGTTGTTGCAGGCTGGAACCCAAATGTGTTCCAAGGTTTAATTCTGCTGAAAGAATTAACAGGATTTACCTTCAAACAAATTGCAGAGATTTCTATCTGCCCCCTGGTTAAAAGGCTTCTTCACAAAAGGAGTGAGAGTAAGACATAGCACACAGTTGCAAGTAAAACTCACGACAATGATTTTGATCTTCCAGCAGTTGTAAAGTTTATACACATATGTCACCTAGGAGGCACGGCAGCTAAAATTCTTTCTTGGGTATGGACAAAGTAATTTCTTTTCTACCTCTTAGGGAGGCACTGCTCTCAGACACCTCAAATTTGTGTAAACTGTAATAACTCTTCAGTTGTCCCCACAGCTACAACTCTTGCAGAACAGGGAATTAAGGAATTTATCTTCATATAGCACGGTAGGATTCTAGGTCAAATACAGAGTAATAGTCAATGGCTTTTGAATAACAGCAAAGGTTTACTGTTTTTATAGCAGTATCAAGGCTTCCTGGCGTATCCACCCCAATCTGTGTTTCTAATCACAAAAAATGCTTTATTTCAGGGAAGAAAAGGGAGCTAGACACTAAAGATTTCAATTTCTCTGATCCACCTCTGATATGGACATAGACACAGCCTACACTTATTTACTAACAGGTTTCAGTAACAAGTACTTACAAAAATTTTAACAATATTCTTGAAACAGAAGCACAGATCATGGTTTCAATTCGAGACACTCCACTAGACAGAAGAAAGGAAACAGAAAAGGCAACCTCTCCTTACACCTCCACATACCAGGTTCTCACTCATTTGGACAAATCAGAAACATTAACTTCGGCCCCAACTACAGTATCTCAGCTGGTGGCTCAGCACATCTCTCTCTCTCTCCTGGTAATCAGGTGCAATTGTTAACTCTGGAAACACTAATTTTTAACAAGAAAGTATGTTAAATATCTACATTTAACAACCCTACTACAGCTTACAGTTTGTATTCTACACTCATTCTCCACTGTGACTGTACAGCTGGTAACTCCCACTAAATACAACACCTCATTCATCTGAATCCATAGCTTTCCACTTAAAAATGCGGTGGTTTCCTCAATTCGCCAGAATGAGCTTTGAATTCAAATCCTAATCAAACCTTCTTGCTGCCCTTCATGTTGTTATCTCTATTTACTATGTAGATACTGCAGTCCAGACACTCCTGAACACACCAACAGGCATTTTGAAGACAGAAATCCTAGGAAATTCAACAAATATTTTCATTTATTTGTCCATCTATTTCTAGATACGGTTTTCTAATCAGATATATTTCCACTATACAACTGTTTCTGTTCACTGCATAACAGAGCAGTATCAAAAAGCCTTTTTTATGCAACTATCCATTATGTCTCGTGCCCTGCTACAGAAAGAAGTTTGACTGGATTAACTGGGGCTTGTTCTTGAAAACCTCTTATTAGCTGTTTATAGAAATTATTGTCTTCCAGGTGATCATTTGAGCCAAATAATTTAAATTACCCATATTCCTCCAGGAACCACAGTTAGGATAACTTGCTGTAACTCTCCAGTTTCTACCTTTTCAACAGTCTATTGACTGTTATGAGGTTTTGGGTCAGGATTTTTTTGAACGGATGTCATGTTTTCGGGTGGATTTTTTTGTTAAGAAGCCCAGTTGCAGTGCCTTTTCCTCTTCTCTGAAACATCATCTGCTCCTCTGAAGTTCTCACATAGTTGCAAAATTATTTCAGACTATTTCTTTAAATTCCTGGGATGAATTTCAGCTGGGTCAGTCAAGCTCAAATGTTGTAATTTGTCATGTTAGAAGGAAACTCATCTCACACAAGGTTCAGTCTTGTGCCCCTCGCTGTCATTCTCCATACTACCACAGCCTTCTCTCAGATTGAATCTATGATGACATCTTAGGGAATCAAATCCACAAAAAGCCATCTCTCTCCTGCAATTTCCCCTGAAAACAATTAGAAACAATTAGTCTTCTGACAGAGTGGATCCCTGAACTGCCAGGGGGTGTGTGTGTAAAGCAGTAGGGAAACAGAGAAGAAAGACAACTCCCTTTGGCAGCAGTTAGCCATTAAACTGGCTTAGCCATTAAACTGGCTTAGCTGCTTCACTAAATTAAAGAAATCTTTTTAAAATGAATACCAAGGACAAAAAAAACCCCACGAAGATGCATGAAATATTTCAACCATTTTAGTATCAAATACAATCAAGAAAGTTTCCTCTTACTACAAATATTTACAGAATTTTCTCATCTTATTCTGCACATTTATTGCTAGGTAGATCTCACCTTGTTCCCTCTTTCAAGACAAACTTTTCATGTAAATATTAATTGTTCACATATTAGTTGTTCCTATTTATCAGTTTCCACTTTCAGTGTACTCAGATTTCTTTGTTAATGTATCCTTCTTACTGAAACAACATTGAAATAGCTGCATTTGTCTTACAAAAAACTCAGCCTGAACTGATTAATGTCACAGCAGCTTCACAGTTTCTTCCCTTTCTATCCTAACTTGCTTCCCTTGGATTTTTCATACATATCCTGTACATATAAGTACATTTTCACAACATGTACTTATCGAAGGTAGTTTATCCCCACTGAAACTGCCTTCCGCTTTCGTGTTTAACTATCTTCAATCTATTAGTTAGGCTTATATCCAGAAAACCTTTAATCTTCAGTTGCTTTCTCTGCCTGACATAAAATGCTATCGGAATTGCAGCTTCAGGAGTTGTTTGTTCTGTGATGTTAATTTGATCAGGTCCTTTCAGAACAACGATACTGTTCCTCAAACTTCATTCCCTTTAGACTGCACTAATGGTCAGCCAACTTTGTGTTTAAAGCTATTCAATGAGTTCATCAAGAAAATCCTAAAAACCCACTCACTCTTCCCAGTCCCCAAGTTAAGTTGTCCATCAGGTTACCTATCCTGGCTCATCATGTGGTCTGACAATCCCAGCATCAAAGGGATGCAGTGGGAGAACTCAGCCAGAGACAGATGATGTCTCAGGAAAGGAGCAGCTTCATCATTTTTGCAACACTCAGCCAGAAACATGAACTGAGGGACAGGCACTGATTTGTTTTCTCTGGTGACCAGTGACAGGACCTGAGGTAACAGCAGGAAGCTGTGTCAGGGGAGGCCCAGGTTGGATATTAGGAAAAGGTTCTTCGCCCAGAGGGTGGTTGGGCACTGGAACAGCCTCCCCAGAGAAGTGGTTACAGCACCAAGCTTGTCCGAGTTCAAGAAGCGTTTGGACAATGCTCTCAGGCAAGCGGTGGGATTCTTGGGGATGTCCTGTGCAGGGTCAGGAGTCGGACTCAATGATCCATATGGGCCCCTTCCAACTCTAGATATTCTGCAATTCTATGAACTGCACCTTATTCATCACACTGTATTCCTGTCCAGAAAATTATCTAGACAGTTAAAATACCAACACTTACCAGATTACACTGCTAGTTGTTTAAACAAACAAAAGCTTGACAACCACCTTTGTCCTTTAGAAGTTTTCCTCTAATCCAAGAGCCTATAGGAAAAGCCCACTGAAACAGCAACCCTTCTGACTACCCAGAATATAGCAAAGCATGACATACCGAGACATTTCCTAAGCAAAGATATGTATTGATACCATCAGTCATTCTGTAGTCTTCTTTTCTGTTCAACTTTAGGATAGCAAGTTTGTCCCTTGTGTCCATTCTTACTGTACACCAGTATCACCAAACACATTCCAAAACATCAAAGAGTGAAAGGACAATTTAAAGCAAGTTTACACCAACAAAAGCACATGGGAAAGCAGAACAGAGCAGAGCAGTTCTCGTTACAGCCTGAAGGAATTGGAACTTCTGGTCAGTTCTGCACTGAGGGGCAGCAGGATCTCTCTCAAATGATAGTGCAAGGATACAGGTATTATTCTTGGTAACAAGTTTAGTACTTGCAAGCTTGTTGCATTTCTGGAACACTACATTAAA